GTGAAAAATTCAACCTCAAAGTTTGTGACTGACAGGAAAACTTTTTTTATTTTTGATGCCTTCTAGAAGACCTGACAGTTGCATTAGAACACAGGCATCCCTTGTTGTGTAGGATAAATGAGTCATGGGTGGAGCACCTGCCCAGCCACAAACTAAAAATTCCATTCACGCTTTGATTCTGTTGTTTATGCTGATCTCCCACAGTAAAGATATTTCAGTACTGATTGTTAAAACAGGTTGTTCAGAATCTGTTTCAGAACAGAATGTTAGCCTGAATGTATAACGATTTCTCTTTTCACCTTTCAAGAAGTTTGTAGTTTTCAGAATATTTCTCTTAAGCTAAGGTTTTCAGAGTTTCGGGCTAGCTTAAGGTGCAAATTTTGCAAATATTAAGCAAAAACAGTTTCGAGAGTTTTTTGCATAGGAAAAATTCTTCTGTTACTAAAAATATGTGTTGTGATTTTTGTGCAGAGAGCAGTATTGCCAACAGTTGAGTTTGAAATACAGTGCAGAAATAGCCCCTGTTGAAGACAAATACCTCTTGAGTATTCTGTAGAAAATTGGTTTTAATGTAACTAACCTTCAAGCACATTTTGAAAACTAGTAATGATTTTTCTGTAGGTTCCTAAAGTTCACAGTTTATGAAAGTTTCACTCTGCATCAGTGGAAGAGCTGGATAGTTCAACAGCATGGTGAAAAACATGCTGAGTAAGTTAGGAATGATTGGTAAAGTGCCAAGAGAAAGATGTGCTGGGAGGCACCTTACATACTGCACAGTCTCCGAAGTTTTCTAGAGTAACACTTCCTCTGCCATATAGAGAGGTAGGAACCCTGGTATTATACGTTCAAGTATAATCACAGGTGTGGACTTAATTCACACTGTCACTACTTATCCTATGTAGCATGACTCTGACTCTTAAAGCATATTTTTCACTTTAGAAAGTTTCCTGGAAGGGAGTACTTGTTGAGTGAAAGTTTAAAGTTGTATCATCTCAACTCTGCCCTGTTTGCCTGTGATAATCCAGTCTTCAAACACATGAAAACATGCTGCTTCTCGTCATTCAAGAAGATATTCTTCTAAGCAGAAAGTTAGGACCATCGTTGAAACATAGAACATAGAGAAAACGATAAATGTTTCACTTCATTGTTTCATTGTCAATATCTTGTAATTCAGTAAGACAAATTCTGTAATTGCATCCTACCAGTGAGATTGTATTTGCCTTGAACTATAGATCTCAACCCTAAAGTTTGCTGTGGGGTATGAAATTAGATAAACCCTTCATAAGGGTGGAGTTCACTATAAGTTAACAGCATTTGCTGTGGTAAACCATTTTGTTCATCATTTCTTTTTGCTGAAGTGAGCCCTCGGTGTGGTTTGGGTGCACCACTTGGGTAACTGCTGAAACTGCTGTGGTTTCAGAATAGGACCTGTTTTGCTTTTTTCTGAAGTTTTTTCCCTTGACACTAGTAGCAGAAAAATCAAATAAGTAAGGGTTACAACTGTTTGCCTGCACTTTTGTACTACCATACCTCAAAAACAATGAGCAGTATCATATAAAAATGTTTTTTCCAGTGAATATAAGATAAATGCAATCTCAGTTACTCCTAAGAGTATATTGTGCAATATTACAATTTTACCAGTGTCCTTTGGTTCAGTTGGTGACTTCGTAAAGCAAAGATACTCAAACCGCATTAAATTGTAGAAATACTGTACCCACATTCTTCACATACTAAACGTGGGAATACAAAAATCTTTGTGTACTTAAGTATACACTTACTGCACTGGGAGATTCACACTTAGTATAAGCCAGCAAGGATGTCAGAAAGATAATTCTGGTGTCATTATTACTAATTTGTGGCTAATAAATGAGTAAATTCGAACATCTAACTGGACCAAACAAACTTCTGCCAGGCCTCAAAACCATGTTTGCTGAGTGTGGCAGGATAAAAGAAACTATAAGCAATGTACAAAGCGTAGTGAAAGAGGGCTCGTTGAGGACTCTGTCATGAGTGCCTGGATTGGTGTATTCAGCATGGGCACTGCCCTTAAAATTGCTCTGCAAAAAATAAACCTGGCTTTATAAGGGTTTCCCTCTTTCACCTTTTCTTCAAAATAACAAAATTATAGACCCTTTCTATTCTTTAATGTATAAAAAAATGAAGAAAATGGCACTTGGGCCATAAAATGAAAATTTTCAATAATATTAGCAGCAACTCTAGTATTCATGGTGACATTTCCTTTACAGCAAAGTTACTCTTTGTGATCTGTTGTGAAGATGAAGCACGAGAAACCCCAATGCTCTTTGGGTACGTTCCGAAACCACTAGGGGCTTCGTGCAAAAACATTAAACAGGCCACCTAGAAAAAACAGGTTTGCTGAGCAAATACATTGCAAACCCTGCATTTGTATTAAGTCACCAGTTCCACAAAGTGGTTTTGGCAGCAGCAGATTTAACCTAAGTAAAGGGCAGCTTAAAATGGGTCATTTTTGCCTCTATCAGTCAAAATTGGTTTGGGGCAATATAGGGTGAAGGATACTAGGGGGAACTAGTAACTGGCAATAGAGGAAGGAGAAAAAAAAATGTAGACGGCTCTTGGTTTGCCTTGACCTTAAATTAGAAATGCAGATACTTTAATTCTCTTTGTAATTTAAAATAAGTTGCTCTTTTATCTGGAGAATTACATATAAAATGCAGAGTTACTCATCTCTTACCAGGTTTGCTTAATTACCTAGCACTGCATAGCTGTGACCAAAGGTGAGATCTCCTAAAGGCCATGGTGATGAGTGGGATGTCAATGCAGCACTCCATCTCGGAGAACAGAACGTGGCCTCTTGTTGATACGAAAGGCAGTTTGAAACTGTGGTGAAGGAGGGTCCATGCTTGTGGGGAGAGCAGATGCTGCTGGTATTTCCTGTATGTTTTGTCACTTCCTTCCATGAAGGACAAATCACTGGTCTGATCTGCCTGTCTTTTCAAGTCCCAAATGTGGTTGCTAATATGGGTATCTGTATATCCTTGCCACATCTGTTAACCAGGATGGAGCATGTACTGAACCATCAAAAATAGTACTGGAGTGAACTTGAAGAGATCTCATTTATCCTCCAGCTTCAAGGCAGCTAAACCAGTGTGATTTCTAGAAACCATTTCTCAAACCTCATGGACGTGGTAATAGAATGCAACAAATTCCCTACGCAGTCTTGAGTATTCTTAAGTTTTAAAAATGTTACAGATTATATAATGTAAATCTCTCTTGGTAAACTCTAAATCCATTAGCCTGTTTCTTGATGGAAGATTTGCCTACAGGACTGTGATCAGATTTCCCTTGAATACCCTTAAGACTAAACAAATCCAGTTATCTCCTACTGCATGTGTCTTGTTTTCTACACCTCTTTCTGTCTGCTTGTTCAGCTGTGGACTTTCTTGCTTCACATTTTCCCTGAAGCACAGTGCCTGCAGGCGGTCAGTGTATTGCATCCGAGCACTGCACTAACTAAGAGTCTGCATGTTTCCTTCAGCTCCCCTCTAAACCTGTGTCTGGCTGAGTTTTTGAGGACTATAGGGTCCCGCAGCCTGTGCGGTCGATAAGGAGGTGCCACCAGCACGGTGCAGAGCCTGCTGTTGGCAGAGGGCTGTACGTCTGGCAAGCTGAGTGCCAGGGAAGATGGACTTTTGGCTGGCCCCTGGGATAAGAGAGGCCGAGCTGTGATTTATCGGCAGGTGAAGGCAGGCTGCTGAGTAGGTTATTTATTTAGTGCAAGTTTGCTGATCTTTATTTCTCTTTGGCAAATGAGGATGTCCACAGATTTGAGCAAATATTATAAAGTTCATGAGCAGCTACCAAAGTACATTCTTAAAAGCTGTCAGGCTATGTCTTAGACATGCCAAGTACATACTCTGAAATTTGGGGTTCGACTCCATTTCTCTGTGCTTTCCTAGTATGTGTATCCTGATGTGAGTAAATGATAAGAGTCCAATTAAATCATAGTTCAAAGAATTGGACATTTCAAAAAAAGATAGCTTTATTAATGCAAATAATGTATGTAATTCAGGTTATTATGCAGGAAGTTGTAAATATTTGTTTCTTTTAAAAATGTTTCTAGATTTTCCTTTATCATTTTTCAAGTACACATTATAATCAGGATTGTTCATCCAAGGAGTATTTTTCCTGGAGGCTGGATCGTGTACCTGTCAGGAGCAATTGTTAATTTTTTTTTTTTTTTTTGGAGAAAAAAAATTACATTTATCTGTTTAGTTATTTGACCTAACAAAATAGTACTTTTTGCCAGGGGAATTAAAAATTAACCATGGAGGTTCTAATTGCAACAAATAAAATATACAACCATTATTTATGAGCATACGCAATAGTTTCTGAGATTTCATTTGTTACTGGGGTGGAATATAAGAACAAGCAGTCACCTACAAAAGGTGGGTTGCACGGCAAGCACCCCAGAACAAGGTGATTTCTTAATCAGTCTCTTTTCCCTTGTACGTCTGGTGGTAGAAGGATAAACCAGTTCCAGGAAAAAAAACAGAATGCATGCATTCTGTAAAGTCCTAGATAAGTTGCTATTTAATTCTATTTAATATGATCAATTATTTATCTTTAGTGATATATATTTTTTAAGTATTTTGTCTTTTATATAATCCCAAACTTAAACTTGAAATGTCTCTAATCCTGGAAAATGAACTAAAGTATACTTTTCAAATTCTTCTGACCAAATGTTTTTATATTGGGTTTTATCCTTTAAAATCTTGATGGTATTAATATTGCAGTATGTATAAGTAAGGTGATGAATCAATTTAAATAAAACAACTGTTTGAGATGATCTACATTGAGAAATGAGTACCGTTATATTTGATTAAATTTTAAATCACCCCAGGAAGAATGGATGATGCTAAAGTGTATAAGCACAGTTTCCTATTTAAGGGGTTTGCATTGTCCATGGTAAGTAACTTCTCTTTTTCTCCTTTTGTTTTTTTTTTTCCTAAACTTTCCAGGTAAAAGTACTCCTGTAAGCCACCTTGGGTCTTCAGATTTTCCCAAGCCCCATGATCCATTCCAGCCATTTGGGGCTGACAGCAGTGACCCGTTTCAAAGTAAAAAGGGGTTTGGGGACCCATTTAGTGGAAAAGATCCATTTGCTCCCTCCTCTTCAAGTAAAACTTCTAAAGACTCTTCCTTGGGGTTTGCAGACTTCAGCTCTGTAAGTTAAGTTCATTGTCTCTGAGCAAACCACTTTCTGCTCTGCTTGCAGCAATCTATTGGGGTTTTGTTTTAACTGCAAACCTACTGTTCACTGGCTTCTGTCTCTTAGTACCTTCATGCTGTCCTCATTGTTTTTGTATTAATATTTCTGTAATAAAAAGGCATTATTTCAATAAAAAAGAAGTTTCATACTAAATTTTAAAGGGTTTACTTGCATTTAAATTATTTTAGTACAGTGTGCCTTTACTCACAAATTCTTTGTAGCAGAATCTGTGTATTGTTTTTGTTGCATGGAGGCTATTTTGTAAACTGATTTTTGGGAGCCAATGATGTAAAGATTCAAAAACAATTGTTGAAAACATTTATATAGCAATTTCACCATATCCACAGAAGCAAATCCTTAAAGGGCGAGATTCCATAAAGTATTTGTAATTGTTTGTAAAAAAAGTTCTGACAATCCTGTCACAATGTTTGCTGTATATGTTGGACTGTGGTCATAAAGATACATATATGAGACAGAGATTGAAAATTTAGCTGTTGAATTTTGTTCCAATTACTGATATTGTTGAAAAGCCCTTGTTAGACAAAGAAAACAAATATGTTTTGTGGAACCACTATAGAAATGTCCATACTGCACTCCAAAAGACAGTGTCAGAAGGTTTGAAAGCAAAGCCAAGTACCCATTCATTAAAAAATACCAGGGTTTCTAAAAGCCTGGCTTTGGTTTTAGTGCTGGCAGTTATGTTATTGAGTTGGAAATCACTGTAAATGTAGTAGTAGTGTGGTTCTTATTGCTTCCATGAGTAGATAGAAATCTGTTCCATCCACAGCCTCAGGCTTCTTCCTCCTTTCATGTGTTTTTGTTCTGTCACATTGCCATGCAGTAAAATTGCCAACTTAATCTGTTATTTAACTCTGATGGACACAGTTCAGTGTTCAACAAGTGGAGATCTTTAAGCTGAATCTTTCAGGTTGCTTATTTTTAATGTTTTTTTCCCCTAGTTATTAGTTAATAGTAAACGTGTATCACTTTCCTATTTGATATTGTTAGTTGAGGTCATCTGTGCATACTTTTAGCTGGCCTCAGTGCTTTAATTTATCTATGATACTGAAGACGTCAAAGTTCAAGGTACTATGTATGCTTTACCACAGTTAGTACTAGCCTGTTGAATTTGCACAGTTAAATTCTGTGATTGTATACAAAATGGTGACATTCTTAATAAAAATAAGACGCAAAACTTGCTTTATCTGAAATTTCTTGAACAACATCTAATTTCTTCTTTCAATGAAAGACAAATAATGGAATGGAATGACTGTTACCCAACTATTGTCGTCTTACTTTGCAGACTGCATTTCTTAAGTTAAAACTGGGGCTTACACTGAGTTGATTGTATCAATGATTAACCAAAATCTCTGATCCCCATCCCAGTGGGTGCTCTAGTGTTAAATTTGCAGTGCCATCAGGTTTTCAGGAGATGAGATTAACTTTAGAAGATAAGGAAAAAGTAGGAAAAACGAGATCTTCAGCAGCAGCCACTTATAATTACTGTTAAGTGGCACTTCATCAAATGAAATGAATTTTTTAATCGGTTTTGTGAATTGTTTTCTACTGCTGTAAGAAAAAAAAGAAGTGTTAACTGAATTTGACTGAAGGGAGAGAGACTTGATCCCTGTTCTTTTCAGTTTTTTGGTTTGTTTTTTTTCCTTGCCTATAACACAATTATCTTGCTACACTTGATAATTCCTAATCCTTCTCTATAAAGTCTTAAGTGTACTAGTTACCTTGTAATCAGCAAGAATATTGTGCTTCTCTTTGCCTGATGTTTGGGAAACTTTGTTCATAATGGAAATTAAAAGCAATTTTACTTACAGAAGGATTTTGAAATGTAGTTTGAGTCCATGGAATCTGATAACAGAATCGTAGAATCGTGTAGGTTTGAATAATTGAATAACCTGATTTTTAATTGGAATTCTTCACTGTTGCAAAGAAGTAACATGAGGACCTTCACTAGATTTTAGTAGCACTCTAGAAAACTTGCCTTTTTTTTGAGACACTGGCAAATTCATGCACCCAGAGTTTAAGTATGTTCTCATTGCATTCTTAACTTTTCTGCTGGCATTAAATACGACTCTTTGGAACAAAACAAAGTCTTTTGGTAGCTCATATTTCAGGTATTTCTAGGTTCCAGCTTCAGTTTATAGAACAACAAGAAAAGCAATCTTTCCACCAACAGAAAGCATTTAAATTTCCAAGAAACAGAGCACTTAGAACTAAACTAAATTTTTTCTCTTAATATAAGCTGGTAATTTAGTAAACACAAGTCAGTGCAGCTTTTTGTGTATTTTATTAGTTTTGCTGCAGTCTGCTGTTTTCCTCATTTATACTTTGGGTCTAGCTGTACTTCTGAAAAAGAAAAAAAAAAAAGAGGTTTTTAATGAAATTACAGATATGTGATACATATTTATAGACTTCTTGAAACCTGGACATATGCCAAAAAATTGTTACTGTATTAAATGACTTGTAATTCAGTTACATTACCTTTTTATAGGCAATCTGTGCAAGAATCAGTGGCATTAATGAACTGTTGTGTATTTCACTATCTAATGGTCAGAATTATGCTCCTGAAAATTATACTTTATGCTAACCATTTGTAATAAGGCACATCCAGATTTGTTTCCAATGAATCACTGGCCTATTTTTCCTTCTTCTTTTTTTTTCTTTTTTTTTTTTTTTTACTCAGCACTTTTAACCACAAAAATATAACTTGTATACCATAAACAAGTCATAACTGGGACTCTCATGAGCTTTGGAAGACTTATCCTAAGATGTACCCTATATAAGTAAAACTGTTTTCTCAACATTTAAAAAAAAAAAAAAAAAGACACCCCAGAGGGTTTGACCAAAGCTTATTGTATTTCTGAAAATAGTAACTGTTATTCTCCATCCCAGCTATATGATCTTTTTGAATTCTTGGAATAAGTAGAGAAGTCCTACTTCTATTTGAGTCCATCTTTACTGTATCTTGAAAAAATAATTATTTAAAATCTTAGTGAGCTTTTAAATCTTACCTGTCAGCATTATTTAAATGAGTAATGATAGTAGGTTTTCTTCATTTTAAAAGTAAAAGGTCGTAAAATTTGTGGCACTTCTATTGTATTTCAAGAACAGTGAATGTAAAGGTCCTCATCTAAATTTTGATAGCAATGAAAGCAGAGGTATTGTTTGAAGAAAAGTAATTTTAAAATACTCCCTTTTTTTGCATCAAATCATCTGAAAAATCATATTGAGCGAAATAAAATGAGGAATTGTGAGCATCCGGAAGCACATAGATAATAACTAAATTATGAGTAAGGGAGAATTGGACTTGGGTTGAAAGAAATTCAAATAGGCGCATTTATTTAAAAATATGAATTATAGATACAATGCAGAGTGGAAAAGGCAAGGGTGGGGGCCGTCACGTAGTATATATGTGGCCAGGCATAGGCCTAGCACTTAAAAGTTGCATTTAATGTTCAGTTCAATATTTCAAGCTTGTGTGGGAAGGTGTAGCCATATCAGCTAGTGCAATGACATATTTTGCTGTGTTCAGAGTTACTGTGTTGTGGACCACAGGGCAATTTTTGCAGTATACATTCAGCTGAAATTGAACCTATAAATTCCACGTAGTTTTCTCTTCCAAAAATACCCCAAATAATATGTTTTCCTGAACATTCGGAAAAAGGATAGTACAAAGCAAATTTTAGAAGTGGGATATAATGCAAACATTGGCATGCAGCTGTGTGAACGCTTCTGTTAACATCATCCTCTTCAGCGAATACTAAAATTAAACAGTCACAGATTATATTGGAGTTTTGAATTGTTATGATTTCAGTAAAATATTTTAATATTTTGTGCAAAAAGGTTAAACAAGCAAACTTTTGCATACTTCAGTGGTAAATACTGGAATATTATTTTGGAATAGTTTTGCTGCAGTGTACTTAAATGTGTTTTGGGAAGCTCAAACAGGCTTAGAAGCTGAATGTTATAATGTGTTATATTTGCGTAGTGTTTTCTGCTGAGGTAAATTAGATTCTCTTACATTATTTCTTACTGGAAAAACTTTGCACGTATTTTTATGAACAGTAACAGAAGCACTTCTTCTAACTTTTGATTTGGTGGTGAAACTTCCCACAATCAGCAGTCTCCAGAGTCATTATTAAAGCCCCTCACCCTTTGCAGGAAATGCTACAATAAAACTCTCTGCAATGGAGTTGCATAAGAGTAAATAACTCTTGTTTTTTACCAGCTATTTACTATTCTTAAAAATGGATGTTAGGTTGCTATGGTCCCAAACCACTAACTTGCTTTTTTTGCGTTTGTGGAGCTTTTGTTTGGCTCCAGTCCTCTGGCTATTTTCATACAAAACTGAGACATGGATGCAGGGACGTGCAGCCCAGATGGGTTAGTTTCCTGGTGGGAGGAGGAAGAAATTAAGAAAATAAATTAAAGGATGAAGTGAGGAAATCAGTGAATTTTTATCTTAATCCAGAAGAACTACCCTAAGACAGCTTGGTATATTTGATTCATATATTTAATAAATCTGATTCGTTGTATTTTTCACATAGTTTCTTCTAGCTTTGTGGTAAATTTATTAATTTATTTTCCATTTTCATTTTTTAGTTTGGAAATGAAGAACAGCAGCTGGCATGGGCAAAGCGTGAGAGTGAAAAAGCAGAGCAAGAAAGACTAGCTCGATTGCGGAGACAAGAGCAAGAAGACCTTGAGTTGGCTATTGCACTCAGTAAGGCTGATATGCCAAACTCTTAAATAGAGGTTCTTTGGCTCCACCCTGTCCAAGTGAAACCTTTAAACATGGCTTTTATAAAAATACTAAATTCTTGGTTTATGTTGTGAAAATAAGTTTAGTCACCTTCAACTCTAAACAAGACTGGCTGGTTACGTCAAACTGGGTTCTGTGTGGCTTTTCAAGTGCATAATATGCAGGAAACACTGTATAAGCTGTATTACACGTTCTAGATAAAATTTACTGCTTGTAAGAAATTTAACGTATGATCCTAAGATAGTGAAAGCAAAGTTTCTTTATCTGGAAGACAATGTTGCGTATAGTAAACTGCAACTTGTGAATCTGGCTTTTCTGAATTCCATTGGTTTTTTGAGGCTGCAGTATGAATTTCAAAGAAAATGTCATAAAAAGTTAATATTTATAGAATTAGCTTTCACTTGTTACATTGATTTAATAATCCGTGGTAGGCTAATCAGTATGTCATCTATGTCAAAGTCTTCAGCATAAATTAATTATTAGATGGTCCCTTTCTATCCAGGAGATGCGGTTCTTACAAAAGAATATGGCAATTTATATATGATGAATACAGACATAGTGAACTGTATAAAATAATACGAATTTGAAGCCTCTATGAATGAGTAGTTCTTCTAATTTAAATATTTGTTTGCATTGAGTTTTAATAATTGTATGTGATGTTGTAAAAGAGGGAGTTAATTCAGTTGTAGTAAATTGCACAACTAATTTGGTGATTAAACCATTAGGTAAAAATCTTGCTTTATCTCATAAGCAAATATGATTGCAGGGTTGTGATACAAGTTTGAGTGCTGCTTTCATGTAAAATCAAGTGATGGAAGACTTACTGAGCTTGAGCAGTGTTCATCCCTACAACTCATTTTACCCTCTTTTGCTCCAACTGCCAGAACATAGACCGTATTATTTGTGTTACCCAATGGACTGGGTGAGACAGTCCCTGTCTCTGTTTCTTTAATTCCACCTATCTTATATTATGGGGTTACAGATCAAACATAGTTTAGCTGAAATAAGGCCAAGTTGAAACAGATTTTATTTGCCAAATACATGTTCATGCATAAGTTATAGAAGTACTGGTAGTCTGGATTGGCTTTAAAATACGGCTTGTGGTAGTAAGTCCAAGTAGGAACAGATTTTATATATACCTGTAGAACTCAATACTTCCACCTGGTAAGGATAACACAGAATGTGTTTTACATGTCAAATATATAATAAGTCCTTATGATACTTCTGTGAATTATTGACTTACTAAAAATGCCTTTTCTGATTACAGGAATTCTAAAACTTCCGTTGACTTTGCCTTGGACTTTTATGTCTAACGAGAGTAGGCATCTAGCACAAAATTTTTAAAATGTCCTTAATGTGTATCTGCTTTCCTGTCATTAGTTCTGTAGGAATACAAAGCTTAACATTCTGTGTTTTTACTGACGCGGCCCTTATAATGTTTTCTCTATTTTTTTGAAAATGTGGTATTCCTTCATCATCTTCAATGCATTTATATTTTTTACATTCTTGCTTCCTTACTTTTATTTTTCACAATACAAAGATAGTGCCTGTTCACTGAATGAAAACAATCTTTCCCCATTCTGTTGTAATTGCCTTATATTCTGGATGCTTTCCTTACACAGAGATAAGAATCAGATTGCATCATTTTAATCTTAGTAGTTTTCAGCCCCGAAATGCAGCTAAGATGTGGCATTTGTTGTCTCAGGCATTTGTGAGTAGGTATATGGGGGAGTATGTGTCTGTGTATGTACATGCACACACACGTGCCCACATCCATCCATTTACATAGGCAGCAATACATATGACAAAACTGAAACCCCGTATCCCAAAATGCAGTTTTAGGAGTCACAGTTTGCAGTTTGTTGTATGTCTCCTGTGCTAATGGTACTACAAATAATGTGAATCTTTAATTCCTCTCAGAAGGGGAGATGTATTCTAGTATCAAAACCAACCATATAATGATCTTTAATACTGTCTTCTAATAACCCCTTTGGAATGCAGTAGAAGGTATTTCTAATTTTACAGAACCTGATTTGAAATCCCTTCCCACTGTGGTAATTTTTCTCTAAAATATGTTAGGTTAAATGATCAAACATACTAAAATGTCAACAAATTCTCTTTTCTGTTGATGTACAAGACTTGAAGCCTCTGAGAGCAAACTTGGGTCTGTCTATAGCTAACACGAGATAAAACTTTTGCTATGAGAGAGCAATTTTCAAAATTGAATGGTTGCAGGATTCTCAGTGAAGTTAAACAAATTGTATCCATGTGTAAGATTCTCCTTTCATTTTCATTTGGGTCTGAGTCTTTGTGGTGTCTCTTCTGCTACAATAAAACCCCATTCATATGTAGTGCCATTTTAGAAAGGAAAACCACTTTTGGCCTACTGCTTGGATGATGTCGCTCCAGTGGGACGGGGTGGATGAGCTAAATAGCTTGATTCATTATCTGAGTTATGTACCATAACAAGACTTTCTGCTACTTTGTCAGTGCTCTAAAATACTGTAATTTATAATGCTTCTCAGGCAATGAGTCTGTGTTTTCAAGATGTTCAGCAGGAAGCCAGAAATGTGAATTAATCTAGCATTCCATATAGTGTTAGAACTAATTGCTCATTTTCCTATTTCCTTATTGACTCATTCTTCATATTTGCTTGGACAATAACAGAAGATCAAGCAAATGAACAAGGACAGAACATGTTCTCTATGCACAGTGTATTAGATTTAGTACCCTTAGGTTTACTGAAACACTCTTGATTCAAAATTTTAGACACTGCAGTAGAAGAAAACTTAGCTATGATTTCTCCCCATTGTATTTAATACAGTTTTCCATATAAAAAGGAAGATTACCCACATTCTTCCCTTATGCTTGTAACTCAGTGTTTTGTATAATACCTGCACTTGTTCTTCTAAGACAAAGCTTTTATCGCAAGACATTGATCATCTTCTTCCTCCAGAACAGTGAAATTTAAAGCACAAATAGGGCTATCGCTATTTGGGCAGAGAAAATATGTACAATGCAAGATATATAAAATGTGAGTATACACAATGCATATACAGTGTACATTATGAGATCCATATTATTTGTGTCTATGTGTGTATATATATATATAGTGTATTGTATAATGTAATAATAGTGTGTGTATATACTATATATGTCCACATACTATGTCTAGTATATAGTTACTTGTGCTGTACATAAAATGTGTATATACAATGAATATGTAGAATATGCATATATATTCTATATATTAAAGCTTGTGTGTATGTATGTATTCTCTAAACAGAGATGGATACAGAAATGGAATTTTTACAGAAATGCCGATTAGATCATGGCTCTTAGAATTTCAAAGTTCTGGTGAAAGAAAAAAAAGGAGAAATGACTACTTCTAATAAATTTGTTTCAAGATTACTTTCATTGGCATGAAAAAGTGTGTTCACTAGCTGTGCCAAGTGTAAGAGAGAAACCTGGCAGAAAGTAGGTATCATCTGCACTGGATGTGATTTCGCATTCTTTTGAGGTTTTAAAGTGTCTTTTTGAAATGTAGACTCAATTTCTGATCTTCTTGCATGTGATGGTCATGTGGTGTCATCTTTTCTTTTTTCTCTAGGCTGAGGCAATGATTTTTCTCCTACATTTGGTTGTAGTTTCACTTCTTTGGTTGTTTGGGTTTTTTTTTTCCCCTCCCCTTTCTTAAAAACTCTTTTTAAGAAGCTGTTCTCATATACACACACACCCCCAAACAGTCACACACTAAGGTGGAAAACATGTTTTTCTTGCTTCATTCCAGTTATATAGGTTGCACATAATTGTCATCTGGACTTCAGCTCTGTTTTTCCTCCATTTCCACCTAAGCTTTTACTTTAGGAGGAATGACTATCCATTGAATTCTTGGCTTTGAGCAAGAATGGAGGTGATTCTACTTTCTACTCGGATAAATTATTAGACTCTGTGGTACATTGAGCAATCACAAAGAGTTTAGTAGGCTTTTATAGTGGCACATGTGTGTTTTATACAGAGTATCGTCACTGCTGGAATGACTCATGGAAAACCGTGAATTGCACACAGCACCGAGGCACAACAGTTAAAACAGGAAAGACGGACAATTATTCACGTTGAACCTACGCATGCAAACTTTGCATGTAGGACACAGGTATTGAATTACCCACATTATCCTTTATAGACCAGTATGTTCACATTTGCCTCGAGTGGTTTCCCTAAGTTATATTCAAATAGTCTTCTTGTAAAACATACCAGTCATTCTGCAATAAAAACAGATGCTCATAAAAATAGTACTTCTACAATAATGCTGTATGAAATATTTTTATATTGGCAAATATTTCCTTATGAAATCTCTGCCCTATGAAGATCATCAGTCCTTATGCATTTTGTTTCATGTGACGTGCTCTCAAAGTGTAGGAAATTCCAAGCTGTGTCTGACTGTGTAACCTTTTTGTTTGTTTGTTTTAAATTCCTGTCTGTGAAATCTGTTGTCAGAAATTTTGTAGAAATTATTTTGTCATCTTATGCTCAAAGATAATGCACTTTTCTTGGATTCTTCTTATAATCCTTTTGGGGTTACTATTTCTTCTTTAGTGTTTCTCCATTGAGAAGAGTATTTATTCTGTAGAACTGAGGCCCAAGGAATTTTGGTCCAAGTAGAATTGTTGCTTTCCCTCACGTAAGAGTTTGATTTCTCCCTTCTTCTGCGTTTTATTCCTCCCTCTCAGGAATTTCATTTCTGTTTAATCCTCATTTAGAGTTGGAACTCTGTTAAAGTGAATTGATCTGTGCTAATAATGATCTAGTTCAAATATCTTCCTACACCGGTGGAACAGCTAAGTTTTTGTTGTGTGTCAACCATTGCATCTCTTTGTAGACTTCACAACAAACATCTTTTCTTAGAAAGGAATTTTGCTTGGAGTATGGTGGAATCATAGAAGATTTATTTTTAGAGCAAATATGTTAACTATTATTCATTGACACACCTGTTTTATCAGTTGATATACTGCTCTTTTTACTTGAAAGTTTTATAAATAAAGGCTAATTTGTTATAAAATGGAATTTTCATTTTTCCAACTTCTGCCTTCCCCTTTAAGTTTAACTTTGAAAGGAAGACTAGTGACTGGTTCCTTCTGCTGTTACAATTATAGAGTGCTCTTCTAGTGTCCATTTTAATATGACGTTCTTTAGTCGGACCTAAAAAAGGTGGAAACACAAAGTGGAAACTGCAATGTTGACCTAAATTTGACTAATATCTCCAAATATGTACAGTATTGTAGTTATATTTATCTTTCAAATATCATAACAAATTGAAAGGTATTTTAATTTTAACCCATCTCGTGTGTTTATTGTTTAATATAATAAGAGAAATGTTATTGTTTAATATAATAAATGAAAAGTTACTTTTTGGAGCTCTGAGACTTTGGCAATCTTTCTTTACTTTTTTTTTTTTTTTTTTGTCCGTGATTTCACAAGCTTTTGTGTCAAATTTGTGAATCTTGCTGTGAACAACTGCTTGATTCTCTGCGTGGAGATCCTTTCTCTTTTGGCTGGTGCCCTCTGCGCACTGTTTTCCCTTCTGTCCTTCCCCTTCTTCCTCATCCCGGCCACATTTGGTCTGTACAGCCCAGTCAGAAAATCCGATGCCGCACCCATTCCAAAACAATTTGTGTGCCGCAATGCTAAACATCCAGGCAATTTATACTGGGAGGGGTTCAAGAGATCACCAGAGACAAACCCTTTCTGCTTGCTGGAAAACACACCTCACTATCTTACTATTCGACATTATTCACTTTGACTCATTATTCTCCCATCTGTTTATTTACTCTGCTTCTGCACACACTGGCATGGTTAACAACAGATTGCCAAGGCAGGTTTCTCTTGAAATTGCTCTCCAGCAGTATTTTTAGTACGTTGACATTTTGAAGCCAGGATTTGACTATAGTGTGTCATGGACAGGCACAACTTCCTACCCAACTTCTCTCGTCGTGTAATGCTCCTCTTCGCTTACAAAAACATGGGCCACGGCTCTGTGTTTTGTTCCCACTCGAGTTTTTGGAGTCTGACATGCACAACGTTCTCATCCTTATGCTTTCCCAAATACTTGCCTAATCCGTGCTGTCCGTGCCTAATCCGAAAGGAGTCCCTGTACCAGGCATCGCGTGGAGACCACCAGGCTCTTCATTGGGAAGGGAAGAAAAGCGTAGGCATCCTCTTCGAGAAGGAACGTTTATAAGCGGAAACTCCAATGTGAAGGAACTCCAAGCTACGAGCCCAGCTGTTAAACCTCTAAAAAGCAAATGTAGCGTTGTTGACTGTACCTAAATGTGACCCAAGAGCAGCTTGTGTTGTGAAAGTCTGAGCTCTTGGAACCCTTGCTGCCATCCCTATCACTGAAATTGCAGTCATATTTTTCTTGGGGAGGCACTACTGGGAGAAAATTGCTGATCTCCTGTCTGCTGTACGTGACTATCAATTTAGTCACTCGGAACATCTTTTACCTCCTGGCTGGTTAGCATTTTTTTACTGTAATGACTGCAATTAAAACTTTTTTATTGGTGCTGATACAGCATTTCTTATAAATGCTGTAGCCTTCCCCATTGATGAATTCTCATAACGCTCTTTGCCAGCTCCAAACATAATATATTTCTGCTGTTTAACTTCCCATAAATGTCCTCAATCACAGCTTTTCAGAAGGGACCTGTGCAGAGGAACAAGCCCTGTGCTTTCTCTGCCCATCTCTTGCACCCGAAGGAAGGGCACCCAGGCATCTTATACCCCTTGTTTTGTAAGTGCTTGTGATATAAAATCATTAATATATCAAGAACCACTTATGCTGTCATCGCGCATGGGCTGTAAAAAAGTGGTTGTTGGGATTTGAGGATTTTTTTGTGTGTTTTGCTTTGTGTTTAAGCCTCAGGCTCAGTAGCTTCTCACCTAATACATTAAATGTCACAGGGGATGTTCAGTGTGATATTCCAGATATTTCCTGATTACATAAGGATAGGTCAGAACTCCAGGAATGCTCTGAGCTGTAAGAAGTGCAAGAAACTAAAGTAAAAGTGATTTAAAGGGATACCGTGTCTAATTATAAACCTGTAACAGGTAAGTTCATCTGCAATTTCTGTGTTGCTGAATTTATGCTCACTACAAAAGGGCAGAACACTTTTGATTTGCTAAAAGGAATTACAGTTGAAGCAGGTAAATAAGCAGGTAACTAATGCTAACTATGGTTACAGAGGAAATGAGAACTTTGTTGCTCCTGCTCTCCTTGTGCTTGGAAGGGTAGTTTTGGTAAAGTTAATACATCTTCCTTATATAAAGCAGTGCATATGACTCATTTTTTGTGTCTACATAAAATATTACAAGATCAAATAATTGTGGCTGAAAAGTCAGACCTCAAAAGATTAAATCAAAACGTATTTTCTGCCTAACAAGTTTAGGATAAATCCCTGCCTCCTCTGCACGCTTCAGAGCACTGTTTCGTGGCAGAGGCTATTCCCAGTCTCCGCCTAAGTGATGGGGAATTGGTTGTTTGGGATCAAATCTTACGGAGCTTTAAGGAGTCTCTGGAAATCAATAAATTGAACCAGTTACCTCCGGGGCCTGTGAACTGTGTATGGCTACGTGCTTTCGGTTGCTGGGATTTGCCTTGGAAACCTATTCCTTCTCCTCCAAATCTATGGGAAGCACGTTTTGGAGCGGAGTTGTGCCTAAGCCTGGGTCTTCGGTCATGGCAGAGGGGGGGGTTGCTGCAGTGCCGGCGAGTTTCGGGGGCTCTAACCACTCTGCTCTTGGCACGCAGGATGAGTCCCGGGCAGGTGGGACCTGTTACAGACCCAGCTGAGAGCAGCTGCTTCAAGGACACGCGGGAATTTTAAGGTTTGTAGATGCCACCGAGTACCTTTTGGATGTTAGCAACGGGGAGAGCTTTCTCCCTGTTAAATTACATGGGGTTTGGACTGAATGTTCCTCTTTATGTTTCCCCCCAACACTGCTAGTTACCATAGCGATGGCTACATGACTTTGTTGTAGTTGTTTTATTTAAATATAGCAAAAGAAATTGCTAGAGCTTGGGATTCTGGCTTCGAAAATT